GTAAGCCTGGGGCTGTGGGGGCCCTGCTGTCATCACAGAGAGAGACTGACTATACGCCAGCCTTTCTCCCACCCTTCTTAAGACAAAACAAACAAACAAAAGAACTGGAAAACAGAAAACACTGGAGCAGAGTTGCAGAGAGACTAAGTTCTGATAACATCCTTCGTGCCCTTGAAGCCCACATGCCTGAAGCCAGTCTTGGCTCGGAAGAGCAGATAAGCTCCCTTTCCTCCCTCAAGTTAGTGGAACTGGGTTTCTGTTGTTTGCAACCGTAAGAGTCCTGATCACCGTGGGAACACTAAGATTTCATACAGTTCCACTCTGGTGGATCCACCTCTCACACTTAAAGCAATAGCCACCTGCGTGCACAAGTCCGTTTGCCCAGAAGAAGCCGAGAATGGCTGTGGAATGGGAGCCGCTGCCTCCAGGCATAATACACTGCACTGCAGAAGGAGGAATGGAGAATCAGAAAAGCGTGAGTTATTGAGTCAAAGAGCATTCTGCACCGCTGAGAAGCTGGCAGGTGGGGCCGCTGCCCCAGGCCCAGGCCCAGGCGGGACACCTGGCCTGGAAGCCACTCCGGCAGAGGCAATGCAGGAAGGTGACTCAGCAGATGGTAAAGGAATTCCATGCCCCCAAGTGGCACTGTCTCCATCTCTACTTCCCACGTGAGAAAACTGAGTCACTGAAAGACCTGCTCAGGGTCTCACCACCAGTGAGAGGCAGTTCTGAGACAGATCCCAAAGCCCAGGGGTGGTGCCTCCTACAGATGATGACAGCTGGCCCTTCTCGGGCTTTACCTTCTCATCTGTAAAATGGGCTGAGTGATGATCCTGTTCCCCAGTTTGACCAGGGACCAGCCTCTGCAGAGCTGTTCTCATGTAAAGATGCAGGCCTCGATGCTGAGATCATCCATAACTGATAGGATACACGGGGCCACACTGTGCTAAATCAGCCTGTCAGGCTCATCCCCAGTTCCCTCCTGGCCCAGAGGGGCCGGGTCATTTCCTTTGTTCTACAGGCACAGGCCTGGTAACAAGGCAGCCAGGAGCTCAGCTGTAGACATTTCTTCATTATTTTCCACCCTGTTAACCTCCATCACAATTGAGGCTGCTGTCAGCCTAAATGAGAGCTGAAAAGATTTATCTCACTTGTCCAGGGCTCAGCTCAGGAAAAGACCCTCCATTTCCTAAAGGCCCTAATGACCTTTCTCTGTGAGTCCCTCTCACCCAGGAAAAAAGATGTGGTGGTGGTGGCTGCAGGCGGGGGCCTATGACGGGACCAAGTAGTCTGAATCACTTCTGTATGGCTTTGCAAAGCTCTATGTGAATGTTTATTATTATACTGTATTTACCTTCCTAATTATGTTTGCTTATGCAAATATTAAAGTTAGATTACACTTGAAAGAAATACAATAGAATGGGAAAGACTAGAGATCTCTTCAAGAAACTTGCAGGATATCAAAGGAACATTTCATGCAAGGGTGGGCACAATAAAGGACAGAAAACGTAAGGACTTAACAGAAGCATATGAGATTAAGAAGAGATGTGAAGAATACACAGAAGAACTCTACAAAGAAGGTTTTGATGTCCCAGATAACCACAATGGTGTGGTCACTTAGGTAGAACTAGACATCCCGGAGGATGAAGTCAAGTGGGTCTTAGGAAGCATTACTACAAACAAAACTAACGGAGCTGACAGAATTTCAGTAGAGCTATTTAAAATCCTAAAAGATGATGCTGCTAAAGTGCTGCACTCGATATGTCAGAAAATTGGGAAAACTCAGCAGTGGCCACAGGACTGGAAAAGGTCAGTTTTCATTCCAATCCCAAAGAAGGGCAGTGCCAAAGAATGTTCAAACTACTGAACAACTGAGCTCATTTCACCTGCTAGTAAGGTTTGCTCAAAATCCTTCAAGCTAGGCTTCAGCAGTACGTGAACCGAGGACATTTAGATGTACAAGTTGGTTTTAGAAAAGGCAGAAGAGCCAGAGATCAAATTGCCAACATTTGCTGGATGATGGAGAAAGCAAGAAAATTCCAGAAAAATATCTACTCCTGCTTCATTGACTACACTAAAGCCTTTGACTGTGTGGATCACAACAAACTGTGGAAAATTCTTAAACAGATGGGACTACCAGACCATCTTACCTGCCTCCTGAGAAACCTATGTGCACGTCAAGAAGCAACAGTTAGAACCAGACATGCAATAACGGACTGGATCAAAATTGGGAAAGGAGTATGTCAAGACTGTATATTGTCACTTTGCTTATTTAACTTCTATGCAAAGTCCACCATGTGAAATGCCAGGCTGGATGAAGCTCAAGCTGGAATCAAGATTACCAGGAGAAATATCAACAACCTCAGAGATGAAGATAACTCCACTCTAATGGCAGAAAGCAAAGAAGAACTAAAGAACCTCTTGATGAAGGTGAAAGAGAAGAGTGAAAAAGCTGGCTTAAAAATCAACATTCAAAAAACTAAGATCATGGCAACTAGTCCCATCCCTTCATGGCAAATAGAAGGGGAAAAAGTAGAAGCAATGGCAGACTTTATTTTCTCAGACTCCAAAATTGCTGCAGATGGTGACTGCAGCCATGAAATTAAAAGACCCTTGCTCCTTGGAAAGTAAACTATGACAAACCTAGAGAGCATTATTAAAAAGCAGAGACATTACTTTGCTAACAAAGGCCCATCTAGTCAAAGCTATGGTTTTTCCAGTAGTCATGTATGGATGTGAGAGCTGGACAATAAAAAAAGCTGAACGCCAAAGAATTGATGCTTCTGAACTGTGGTGTTGGAGAAGACTCTTGAGAATCCCTTGTACTACAAGGAGATCCAATCAGTCAATCCTAAAGGAAATCAATGCTGAATATTCACTGGAAGGACTGATGCTGATCCTGAAGCTCCAATACTTTGGCCACCTGATACGAAGAGCTGATTCATTGGAAAAGACCCTGTTGCTGGGAAAGATTGAAGGCAAAAAGAGAAGAGGGCGGCTGAGGATGAGATGGTTGGATAGCATCACCGACTTAATGGACATTAATTTGAACAAACTCCAGGAGATAGTGAAAAACAGGGAAGACTGGAATGCTGCAGTCCATGGGATCGCAAAGAGTCGGACACAACAACAACACTTCCTAAACACAGCCCCAGGAAGAAATCAGAGCATATTGTGCAGCAGGAGGGAATTAGCTTGCAGTTACAATTTTGCCATAGAAGACATTCTCAAAGCGGACAATCCACATACAGACCAGGGAGAGATGACTGTACTTCAAACCAACTTGGCATCTTCCTCTGTGTGCCTGGCAATCCCTGGTCACCTCTTCCCTAAAACTGGCACCAGGCAAGAACGGATGAGCTGTATCATTTAAATAGTAATAGTCTCCTACACTAGCATAATAACAACCAGCTTCCTGAACATTTATTGAGTGCCAGGCTCTGCTTTCCATGTTTTACAGGGACTATCAACTCTCCTAACCCAAGAAGCTGCCTTGTGGGTATTTCTATCTCCATTTCACAAATAAGGAAACTGAGGCTCAGAGAGTTTAAGTAACAAACCCAAAGACATACAGCTAATAAAAGATGCAGCCAGGAATATGAACCCTGAGATTTAAGAATTCTGGACCCAAGACAACACCCTGAACTGCTTCCCAATAACAGCCCCCTCCTTCACATGCACCACTTCATTTAACCCTCACACTGCTCTTGGGAAGTAGATGATCTTAACCTCATTTGATAGACAAACAAATGAGCAATCTTTGACCTTAAAATTCCTGTTGCAGAATTGATCTTAAGAAAACAGCAGTAGCCCATCAAATGATGAATGAATAAGAAACTTGTGGTGTATATATATATATATATATATATATATTTATATATATATAAAATATTATTCAGCCATAAAAATGATGAAATTTTGCTATTTGGAACAATATGGATGACCTAGAGAATATTATGTTTAATGAAATAAATCAGAAAAGACAAATACTCTATTGTATCATTTATATGTGGAATCCGAAAAAATAATACAAACGGATGTATATGCAAAAAAGAAACAGACTCACAGATACAGAAAACAAATATAACCGGTTGCCAAAGTGAAAAGGAGCAAATAAGAGGTATGAGGTTAAGAGATACAAACTACAGTGAATGAAATAAATAAAAAATAAGGACATACTGTATAGCGCAGGAAAATATAAACATTACCTTATAATAACTTTTAATGGAGTACAATCTGTAAAAATAGTGAGTCACTATGCTATATACCTAAAACTAATATAATTTAAAGAAACTATACCTACATTTTTAAAAAATAGCAGTGACTATGACAAAGGTGTATATAGAAGAAGCTCACAGCAGCAATATTTAAAATAATATGGAAATCACTTAAGTGTTCAACAATAAATGATCAGTTAAATAAACTAGGGTATATCTATATGATGAAATACTATGTAATCTTTCAAAATGTTGTGGAACTATATTCATTGATATGGAAAAATTTTATAATCCAGTGTTATCCAACTTGTTAGGTAACATAGGCAGAAAGTAAACTCATATGCAGTCTGACCTCATTTGGGAAAAGTACACACATATTCTACAAAATGTATAAATACAAACACTCATAGAAAATGTATTTACATATGTACAACCACTTGGACAACCAAAGTGATTATTGCTGAGAGATAACATTTCAGATGATGTTATTTTCTATGTGTGAGCTCATCTCTATTTTTGCAGATTTCTTAGAAAGAATGTATACAACGCACTTAACCACACAAAGGTTTTTATTTTTGTGGTGGTGGTGGTTGCTGAAGTGGCTGAGACCCCAGGCACATCCAGGACTCAAACTCGGAGCCTGGAGGCCCAAGTCCAATCCTCAGCCTCTGGTCCCCTTCAACACCCCTGCTCCTTGGTCCCATGTTCCCGGACCACACCGCACCGTTTGGCAGTCTCACCATGGCCAGCCTGGGGCAGAAACCAGGTGGCCCGAGTACCCACCTTTTTGAAGAGTCTGATGACATCCTCGCTGATCTGGGAGAGGCGGACAATGACATTGTTCATGAAGATGTCGTTGAGGGTGGCATGGTCTCTGCTCTCCCGCCTGGTCTGGTGCAGGACTAGATACCAACAGTTCACGGGCGAGAGGAGATACTGGTCTTTCCTATAGAAACCAAGACAGCTCATTGGAATTGCCATCCACAAATGTTCTACGTTGTCACCCACCACAGCTCTTTTGACCTTGGTGGGGCCCTTTCAAATTCGTTTTCCTATAACACATTTAACAGCGACAGAGACCATGAGGGCTGAAGCAGTCCTCCCGAGGTCACAGAGCAGTGCTGGGGCCACTTTGCATCAGTGTTTCCTTAGGAAATGAAATATTTCTGTCTTCTCTGTGCTTTACCCAAGACCCCCTGTTAGCCTCAGTAAAGTGTGTATATACCCTGGTGTCCAGGAAGAGTGAAGGACAAGTAGAAACCAGTGTCAGACCAATAACCCCATGTGGCCACACACGGCAACAGGGCTGTGTTCTTGACCTATAACCCTTACTCCACTTTCCCAGGTGGGAAGGTGATGTTGAGGCAGAGGCTCATTCATCACCGTAGGGTGCCTGGCCCAAGGTCTGATTCCCCCAGGCCTGCCTGGCTCCCCCTGGGGGCTGGCCAGGGTTCTCTCAGGAAACGCAGCCTCCTATCAGCACTTTTGAGGAGGGGAATTTGGCTGACTCCCAAAATAACCACATCATCCTCCCAAAGTCAAGTGGAATTAAGGGAGAGGGGAGCCCTGAGGGCCTCTGTGCAGCTGTGACTGCCCCCCCTTACTCCACCCAAACCCTGGGCTTGGGAAAGATAGGTGAGCAGAGGCCAGTTGACTTTTCTAGCGCCAAATGGGCTAAAAATCTGTCCAGGAAACAGGAATCTGGGAGAAGGGAATTTGGTTTATTTTTTTGTTTGTTTGTTTCATTTATTTTTTTTAGTTGAAGGCTAATTACTTTACAATATTATGGTGGTTTTTGCCATACATTGACATGAATCAGCCATGGATTTACATGTATTCCCCATCCTGAACCCCCCTCCCACCTCCCTCCCCATCCCATCCCTCTGGGTCTTCCCAGTGCACCAGCCCCGGGCACTTGTCTCATGCATCCAACCTGGACTGGCGATCTGTTTCACACTTGATAATATACATGTTTCGATGCTGTTCTCTCAGATCATCCCACCCTTGCCTTCTCCCATAGAGTCCAAAACTCTGTTCTATACATCTGTGTCTTTTTTTCTGTCTTGCATATAGAGTTATCGTTACCATCTTTCTAAATTCCATATATATGCATTAGTATACTGTATTGGTCTTTATCTTTCTGGCTTACTTCGCTCTGTATAATGGGCTCCAGTTTCATCCATCTCATTAGAACTGATTCAAATGAATTCTTTTTAATGGCTGAGTAATATTCCATGGTGTATATGTACCACAGCTTTCTTATCCATTCGTCTGCTGATGGGCATCTAGGTTGCTTCCATGTCCTGGCTATTGTAAACAGTGCTGCAGTGAACATTGGGGTACACGTGTCTCTTTCAGATCTGGTTTCCTCGGTGTGTATGCCCATGAGTGGGATTGCTGGGTCATATGGCAATTCTATTTCCAGTTTTTTAAGGAATCTCCACACTGTTCTCCATAGTGGCTGTACTGGTTTGCATTCCCACCAACAGTGTGAGAGGGCTCCCTTTTCTCCACACCCTCTCCAGCATTTCTTGCTTGTAGACTTTTGGATAGCAGCCATCCTGACTGGCGTGTAATGGTACCTCATTGTGGTTTTGATTTGCATTTCTCTGGTAATGAGTGATGTTGAGCATCTTTTTATGTGTTTGTTGGGGATTTGGTTTAGACAGAGGATGGATAGGTTAGAAACCTCTAAGAGAAAGAAAGGAGACATTATGCTCTAAGATAAACGAAGCGGCTTCTCCTTTGCTTTTAGCCTAGAGAAAAAGCCGGAACACTGAAATACAACAGCCCAGCCTCCTATCCTCCCAATCTCTCAGCATTTGCTCTATGTCAGGTCTCAGGTCTCAGGTCTCAGGTCTCAGCTAAGGCAAAAGGATTACAGTGGAAGGTGCTGAACGTTATGATAGAGACGTGCAGAGCACCCGTTCTGCGTGAGAAGTTGGAGAAGACATGGCGTTCCGCCTACGTTCCCGTCACATCATCCCCTGTGCTTTCCTGCCAACTTCTCCCCACTGGGGACTTCCCGCACTCTGCGCATCTGGAGTGCATGAGCCCCACTTTTCTCCGTCTCTGGGTCCCAGCCTAAATGACGCCCTCTGGAGAGCATGCCTCAGACCTCACTCTAGGGCAGGAATTCTCAGAGGTGGAGCCCAGCCCAGACGTATCAGCTCCATTTGGAAACTTGTTGTAAATGCAAATTATCGGGGCTACCCTATACCACTTAATAAGAAGTCTTGGCACTGAGCCCAGCATCTGTGTTTTGACCAGCCTTCCAGGGGACTGTGAAGCGTACTCAGGTTTGAGGATTTCTGCCCTAAGAAGCTTCCACTCCCCACCCATCGCCCTACTTGAAGTCCTTTGAGAGCAGGAAGTGTTTCTCTCTTAGTTATGATAATCAGTGCCCAGCAACACGCCTGACACATAGCATACGCTGTGGAAGAAAAACCCAACAAGACGGTGACATTTGTGCTGGGTCCTGAAGCATAGGTAGGAGCTTTCCAGAGAGGCAGAGAGAGATGGAATTGCAGGTAGAGGGACCTGTGGATATGAAAAAGTAGCTCCGCAGAGCTAGGAGCAGAAGAGAAGAGCTAAATCCTGAGTGTGTTAGGGGAGGACATAAGGATGGGGAGACCGGTTAAAGGCTTGACTGTGGGGAGCTGAATGCAGGCCTAAAGAGCTAGGGTTTTATCATCTAGGCCATATGGTTCTCAACCCGGGTTACACACTAAAATCGCCTGGGAAGCTTTTTAAAAACACCAAGATCCAGGCCCCTTCCAAGAGCAATTAAGTCAGAATCTCTGGGGGATAGAGCCTTGGTATTGGTATTTTAAAAACATTCTCCAGAAGGGTCTAATGTGCACCCAGTGTTAAGGATGCCTGCTGTGGGCAGCGGGGAGTCATGGAAGTTACTTAAGCAGAGGTATGATCTAACCAATGTGTATCTTACAAAGATCACTGAGGGCAGACTGGAGGATGGTGGATGGATGGGTGGGTATATGGACGGGTGGTGGATGGTTAGACAGACGAGTGCTGGGGTGGATGGGTGTGGACAGAGGCATGGCGCTGGAAGCAGGAGGACCAATCAGGAGGTGACTCTAGTCCAGGAGAAGAGAGATGAGGGCCTGGGTGGTGGCCAGAGAAGGGCAGATTTAAGAGACTCCTTACCAGGAGAGATGAGAATCTTGAAGACTTCCTAGAAATAGAGAGGAGGTGGTGGCTCAGATGGTAAAGAATCTGCCTCCCAAGCAGGTAGGTCCAGGTTCAATCCCTGGGTTGGGAAGATTCCCTGGAGAAGGGAATGGCTACCCACTCCAGTATTCTTGGGCTTCCCTCATAGCTCAGTTGGTAGAGAATCTGCCTGCAATGCAGGAGACCCAGGTTCGATTCCTGTGTTGGGAAGATCCTCTGGAGAAAGAAATGGCAACCCGCTCCAGTATTCTTGCCTGGGAAATCCCATGGACAGAGGAGCCTGGCAGGCCACAGCCCATGGGGTTGCAAGAGTTGGACATGACCTAGAGACCATTACCAAGAAGGGGGAAGTGAACGGTGATTCTGAGGTCTGGATCTCAGGCAACTGGGGGGATGCTGATGACATGAACCAAGATAAGAACTGCAAGGGGAGATGTGGATTTGGGAAGGAAATAGTTCACATCCTATTTCCACTGCTTCCTAGGTGGTGATGGGAATGGAAAGATTACAGGTGAGATGAGATAACTGAGTTGTTACCTACATTACTTTGGGAGCTGAACTCAGCCTGGGGATGCAATAATTGAACAGCATCAAGGAAACAAAAGTACAAAATGTATGGAAGTCACACCAGAAGGTGAGTTTCAGGGGGAAGGAAAAAGATCTTGAAAGGGCGCAGAAGTGCTGGGACAGCTTGGAGACCGTTAATTAGGTCACTTGTCCAGGAAGACTGGATAAGAGAGCAGAAAGGAGCTGCTTTCCTTGGTTGTGGGCAGGAGGCAACACAGCCTCACAAGGATTGCAGGGGTGGCAGAAGGAGCGGAGGCAAGGATAGAATCACCTGGAAGCAACCAAAGACTTGTCAAGCTAAGGTAAGAGGCTGCTGAGAAGACGAAGGCCGTGGTTCTCTCAGGCTTTCATTCGCTCATTGTCTGTCTCTGTGTGGACGTACCAGACAGGCAGGCAAGGGGCTGGGCATGCACCAGTGACCGCAGCAAGCAAGACTCTGCTTGTACAAGCCTCCCACTCAGGTAAGGAGACAGAAAGTGATGATGCAGCTTCATAAATGTAGTGACAGGAAGGAGACAATGGGGCAGAGAAGGCCCCCTAGCCCAGATCTGGTGGAGGGGTGAGCATGGGTGGATCCTCAAGGAAGCACTTGCTAGACTGAGAACTCGAGGCTGGAATGGAGTTTGACAGGCAGAGTTTCTAGGTGGAGAAATGTAATGAACAAAGGCCTAGACAGAGCAGATTAGTGAGCTAAACCACAGTTAAGGGGGTTCGAGCATGGTGTCCTGGGGTGATGGGGGGAGAATGAAAAACGAGGCTGGAGAATCAGGCAGAGGCCACACAGGCCTGTAAGTCTCAGTAGAGTTTGATCTTCATCCTGATGTTGGCCAGGAGTCATTGAGTGGTTTAGAGCAAGGGGGTGAAAGGGTGGAATTTCACATTCAAACTCTCACTCTGGCTACTGTGTGAGGATGAACTCGAGGGGGCCGCAAGGGAAGCTGAGAGATTCCAGAAACATGCAGGTGGTAAACTGACTGCACCCTGAGACTGACTGACTGGAAGAGAAAAGAAGATGCTCAGAATGACTCCAAGTCTCCCAGGTTGGGCCCCTGAGAGCAGGGTTGGCATTTACTGAGATGAGGCCACTTATAGAAGCAGGGCAGGGAGGGAGGGCGATGGGTTCCTTCTAAAGGGCGTATGGAACACCCAGAGGATGGCATCTGGGCTAGAGAGACAAATGTGGATGCT